GAAATTTGACAGGAGTTTGGCATGAAAATATTGGAAGATCGTAACAATAAAAACAGGATGTTGGAAACTGTGTTCATGTTTGCTGTTTTTTAAGATATGTTAAATCATTTTCTAGTTTTTATTCTAAGATAGTACACAAACGACGGATGAGGATGTGGAGTGTGAGCGTGGGTGAGGATCAGTAAATAGAAGACGTCACCCTCAACCCTCACCTACACTCTCGTACTCCCACTCGTCTAGCCAATAATTTTTGAACGTAGAGACTTTTAATTACATAGTATTTCATTTCCCCAGAGATTAGTGCTATCAATTATCAACATTATGAATAGGTTAAAGCACAAAAGTCACAAACATCTTGTACAGTTATTATAGCGTTATGTGTAGAGACAGAGAAAGGTAGATGTTGTTTATATAATTACGAAGATATTGTATGAATCATTCTTGATTTTATAAAAAAAAAAAGAAAGAAAAGTCTTTATGGTCGTTGCGAATATCAGAATAAATCAGTTACGATTTCCTGGTAAATTGGATCATGAACATCCCGTATTTTTCGTCCCAATTCTTAAACATTACTCCGCATATAGTAATGATCATTCCATTCCGAATTTTCAGTAACGCCTTTCCGTTCTCCCTGTGTTTTCGATTACGATCTCCTGTTCAAAAAGGATTACGAACTCCCGTCTAATATTTATTACGGCAGAAAGCCATTTCCGAACACCCGGACACATGTCCGGTGTTCGGAATGACTTGGTGCGAAATGTCCGTCACCCAGTTTTCATACACGACTCAAAACAAAAAAGTGGTGCTAGACTTTTAACCCACACTGTAGAAAGAGTTTCTAACTACTCTCCTATAGATTTCACATAAAAATTCAAGAAAAACAGCATGCTTTTCTCATGATCACGATATTAATTTATTGATTTTCAGGAGTGCGCTTGAATCGTCAAAAGGAAGGGCTACAAAACTATATCAAGATTATGTTCCTAACTATTACCACTATGATATTCAAATCATCCCCTAGTCTCAATTCTGTTCATTCCTTGAGAAAGCCTGGAAGGATCTTTCAGGATCCTGAATATCAAGGATCTTGGCAAGTTTCATTCAGGATTCTGTCTCAAATCCTAACAATTCCTGTTGCCAGGATTCTTTAAGGTTAAGCAGGATCCGACTAAGGATCCTGACAGATTTATCCAAGAGGATTCTGGCAAGATTTTAATACGTTTCCACCAGGATTTAAACTAAATCTTCATCTCAGTATTCTGTCAGGATTTTGAAGTATATCCTGACGAGGATCTTGGCAAGAAAATAACAAGATCAGTCATAATCATAAACTGACTAATTCTGCCAAGTTTCGATCAGGATCCTTTCTGAAACTGTTCAATAATGAACATTTCCATAGCTTGCAAGACGATACCAATCCTAATCACGATCTTGACAGGAAATCATAAGGATTCCCTTAGGAGCTTTGGAATTCACTGTTCACGCTACTTAGCGCTGTCCATTTATGAATAATACCTCCAATGTCATAAATGTAATGATTTCTTCCAAGATGGATTCAGGATATCCTCAAGTTTCTGCTCAGATCTTTTTGTGAACTGAGAATTCAGGATTCTACCAGGATTTGCTCTCGCTTCTTTTCAGGATTCTGACAAGAATTATAGAAAGGTTTCGGTCAAGATTTAGTCAGGTTTTACTCAAGATCTGTTCAAGATCCTATCCTGATCTCAATTTCTTTTTGTTATGTTGATCTTTCCTAAGTTTTTCCAGGATTCTACAAGGATCTGTTCAAGAACAAGTGTTTTGGATCCTTAAAAAGTAGTGCAAGTACGATCAAAATCCTGAGATGAAAGTACAAGGATCTAATTAAGATCTTTAGAGGCTTGCGTTTGAAGTGTATGCAGAATTCGATATTCAGGATCCTACCAAGATTTATAACTGATCCTGTTCAGGATCGTGGGAAGAATGCATGAAAAGATTTCATCAAGGTTTTATCTGCCTCTTGCCTAGGATCAGTTCAAGATCTGTACATCTAAAAATCACAACAGGATTTCAATATCAAAATTGAATAAGGTCTCTACAAATTCGATGATTTTTCCAGATTTACTACATTTTTATTCTAACCGTGATGAAATTCTGAGAATACATATGAATCTACTATGATTTTGATTCTGATCATGATTTAAATCTATGCAAAAGCAATTAAACAAGATTATGACAAATTTTTTAAAGTTTTTTCGAAATCTTGTCAGAATATATATTCTATATTGGAATTGATGTGATATTCACGATATAAAATTAATCATCCGTCCTATATTATATTGAATAATACTAGGAAAATTAGTAAAGTAGGAAATTCCCATCTGTTGATTGATTGTACTAAATTTTTGAATAAATTATTTCTTTTTTTTTTAATTAAAATCTTTTAGCAAAAACTGTTGTGCATTCCATTTATTTGTTAAACAAGGTTGAAAAAAATATTTATTACATCAAATTAAAGTCAAACACGATATAGTTGATTTTTTTCAATTGAAATGAATATTTAAAATGAAATTTTTTTTTTAAATTTTTTCTCGAAATAATAATGTTGATAAAAAAATTAAAATACAAGTTAAGATTTAAGATAGAAATGAAGATATTGAAGGTTGAAACTATATCTAATAACATGACATATCCAGCCGGGTAAGCTGATCGGTATATAAACGGAAGGTCTAGAGTTCAAAACTCTATGTGTTCACTTTTCTTCTGTTCTGTTTAGATTATCCTGCAACGATCCTGGTACAATCCTGTCACGATACTGGTAAGTTCTACACTAGTAAGTATATACTAGCAAAGTGTTACACGCTGAGTCATAATAGATTCTGTCAGGTTCCTTCAGGAAAAATTAAAGGAATACATCATGGAATCAAATAGTGTCCTGAACGATTTCTAAGTTTTTTAACAATAGCTGTGAAAATCCTGAAAGAATCCTATAAAAATCTTGAAGCCAATATGAGAGAATCTTTGAAAAATCCTGTTTCCAATCGTGACAGATTCCTTGAATTTCACGGCTACACGTTTCTTTCAGGATTTATGGGTTTCCTGGCTTATTCTTGGTTAAAAAGACAATGGTAATCTTTTCAGGATCATTGAAAATCTTGTTTCAAATCCTGGCAGGATTCTTCAATTTCACGGCTAAACGTTTCTTTCAGGAATTAGTCGTTTCCTCAGGGTAAAAGAGTGAATCCTTGCAAGATCCTGGTTGTATCTGGAAAAGATCTGGCAATGAAACGTCAAAGATTTTCCCTAGGGTCGGAACAAAATTTATCACCTCATTTTTTGCTTCAAGAAAATAATCGAAAAATGTAAATTTTTGTAGTATTTTGATAGAAAAATCACTTTTTTAACGTCGGAGAAAAACTCAATTCTTTGAAAACGTTTGACTAATTCTTTCGGAAAGTGGTTAGAAAATCTTTCTATATATAATTTAATGCGTCTTCATCTACTCTTTCTAACAGTAAAAATCACAGATCTCTATCTCGTTCCTATCGAAAGTTATTCAAAAAATATCCACGGTCATTTAACTCTGAAATGGATATTAGTCGATAGTTAATCATTAATTTAAACGAAATATTCCGAGCGAATCATCGATACTGATATGTGCCGTTTTATCCCATATTAGTTCAACAAGGATACAATGGTGAAACTAAATAAACTAGAAAAATAACTTGTTCCATAGGTATTTCGAGTCAAGTTCTCATTATTCCACTGATTTTTCGATCGATTTTTTATCTATTTATTGAAGAAGCCAAAATCAGAGTTTCTACGTAAAATATTTTCAATAGATAAGTCTAATGAAGTATAGAAAGAATATTCCAAAATTTTCAGTCGAAAATAGTTTTTTTCTGTTGAAATATTGAATTGTAAAATAAAGTCGATTTTCATTTACGTAAATGTCATTGAAAAGCAATTAAATTTTAAAAAATTGCATATCTCAAGAAAAGAACATTTTTTTTCAGATGAAACTTTAAAAATATTCTACGGTTCATTTAACCTATATGTGGACAATTTAATATCGAAATTTTATTTTTAAAAATTTTCTAGATCTTTTCAAATATGACTCGAAAATTAATTTCAACGATTCTGAGTCGACTTGAAAGACTTATGAGGACGAACTATTTTAGCATTTTTCAAGTCTTTATTAATACATTCTTGTCATCCAAATATGAATTGAAACAGTAGTGATAATATTAGTTCGAACGTTTGTCTCGTTAGTTGTTTTTATATTTCAAAAATAAAAAGATAATAAAAAATAAAAAGTACAAAGTAAATATAAAGTATTATGTTTCATTCACTCTATAAATATCTTAAACGAATGATTTTATTCAAGAGAATGTTGTTGTTTATGTGATTTCGGTTTTTTTTCTGGTTTTTTAAAATTTCTATTTGTAATTCAAATGAATATTTTCTATAAAGTATTATTATATTTCGTATAAACATAAGTCGAAATAAAAAGATGTGACAAAGCGATAGAATAAATTCTGATGAAATTTTCTTCTAAAAACTAATGTATTGTTATCTCTTTTTATTAAATCTATTGATTTTTTTTTTCTCAAATACTTAAATAATTTAAATTTGTAATTGAATAATCGTTTGTGTTTTTTTTTTGTTTTTCTTAAAGTAATATCTTTAGTTTTTTTTTTTCGATATAAAAATGAAAAATATCCACATCACATATATGTACTTTAACATATCAACGATTAAATTGAAGATTAATTTTCTTAGTGCGCTATTCTTTATATTGAAATTAGTACGCAAAAGAATAATAAAGAAAAAGCGATTATATTCAATATGATATCAAATTTCTATGATATTTGAAATATTGAATGATGATGATCATAGGCTTAGTTAATACCCTATTTTAATGTCTGTTTTCGTTCTATAAAGATGATTTTATCATAAAAAATATTGACGTTTATTTATAAAAATAAATGAAAATGTTTCTAATAATAATATTCTTCTTTATGTTATCGACGGGTGTTTTATCTCAACAAGGTATATTTGAACCTTATACATTTACTGAAAATAGTTGTACAGGTAGTTATAAATGGACAACCTGGTTTGATACAAATGATCCGAATATGGCACAAGGTGATGTTGAAATAACAAATCATATTCAAAAATTTTTTCCTAATTTTATGTGTTTATTCCCAATTGCTATTGAAGTATGTTAAATATTTCAAATATTATCTATTATTCTAACAAGACTTTTATTATTTTTCTAGGCTCAAACTTCATTTGATGGAAGTCCAGCAAGTACTGGAGACGTATTTCGCATAACTGTCAAAGATGGATTTTTATGTTTAAATCAACAAGTTATTAATTATAAAAACAAAATGTGCCAGGATTACAAAGTTCGTTATTGTTGTCCAGCTAATACTGTTTAGGACACTATTATAACAACAATTATTTGAAATAAAATATATAATTGAAGTTTTCAGCTAAATTTGAAATATTATTATTAAATAATTTAAGAATCTTAGATATTTTCATCTTAATAATTAAAATATTTTCGTTTATAGAATATTTTTTCAACATATATCCTAATAGAATGATACCTTACAGCAGTTAACCGTGTAAATAGGAACTGTTACTGATCGGTTTTGAGTTATATTATCTGTTGATTATATAGAATTCGATCCATTTTCACATTGTAAATTATTTTAAATCAAACAATGGATCGAACTATTTTAAAAAAAAGAACTTTCTTATCATTCTAATTATATTGTTTAAGTTGATGATAGATATGCAACTATTGAACTAAATCTATAGATTATATTTGGAGATAGGAAACATAATTCTCTATTTTTTGCTTTTATTTCGAACCGGTTTAAAATGTTAAAAAATTTTATGTTTTTCCTGATAAAATATATTAATGAAAACAAAAAAATGTTTCCCATTTTCTAGCTGATTATCTGATATATAAAATGAATTCTATTATTCTATATTTATTTAATGAGTAGAACAATTTCGTGGTTTATTGACTGATCTTAGTCTAATTATATACGTCGAATCATTTTCATGTAATTAATTTTTAAGATGATAAATTATTTAATATTCTACTGTATTATATATAGGTATGAATTGATTCTATATCTTCAATATGAATTTATGATAAATATATAAACATAGAAATAAAATATTATTTTTCCAGAAGAAAAACTAATAATAGAATTTAGCACTTTTATCTATCTCTATTCTATTACAATTAAAAAGTTTAAAAAAAAAAACAGAAACAATCTACGAATATTATTTAATTAAATTAATAATAAAGACAATATTAACAATTATATATAAAAATTGCTCGAAAATATTCTTCAAACCATCACATTAATTAACAAAAAGAATTTTTGAGGAATGTAAAAGCTAAAGAAAATATTATTTTGATGAGAAAATTCATAAAATCATTCTATCATAATTTGTCTAATGGTTTTAGATGAAATTCTTTACAATTATTATTTTTGTCTCATCACACAATATATAATTATTGATGTTCAGATATGATTATATTATATATATATATATATATAGAGAGAGAGAGAGAGAGAGATGGTCGATATAGAAAAACAATCTACTTATTTGATCTGATAGAATATAGAAAAATGTCTCGTAATTTATATTTAATCATAACATAACCGAAAATCTACGATATATAATAAACATGCTTTATTTTATCGGTTTACTATTGTATATGAATCGTTGTGTAAGATCTGAGTGATGTTTTTGTTTTTAGTTGTTTTGATAAAATAGTTTCTGACTGTTGAATATATTTTCTTATAATAAAAAATGACTTATTTTATTCATTATCAAATACATTAAATTATTATTCTTATAGAAAATAAAATCGTACTCTATCAATTTCCTAAGACGTTTAAATAAATATATTTATTAATAAAAGATAAATATTTCGTTTTCAGTTTTTCATACGGGGGGAAAAAGCGTATTTCTACGTACTATGGGTAAAAATCCGTGGAACTACATAGAAATATGAAAATACAGAAATACGCCTTTTCCCCCTATAATTAACTACTTGATAATGAAACTCTATTACTGATCTTTCATGTTGTTTCAAATATTTTAGTAGAGAATATTATACGTTAATAAATCCGATGTTAAGGACGTTTAGTACAACGATTATAAAGATGTACTTAAAAAATGTAATTCCTAGTAATATATAGATCTAAAATAGTAAAATATCATTAGCATTATATATGAGATACAACTGGTAGGAAAGTGATATTTTTCTGACAAATGTTTTAAGTTAGATAAACAAATCAGTATTTAATATATGAGATCGTGTGATCGCCCCCACATATGAAAACATTGAATTGATTAAATGTTTAATGCATATATAGTTTGTGTGATCGTTGTCAAAATGTGGTTACTATCGAAAGGCAGTACATTGAATAAATGAAGCAATTGTTATCGTAAAGTTTCATAGTATATCAGTTAGATAAACTTTTTTTGACAAACTGATTATATATTTAAATGTATTTGATAGATGATTAAAAAAAAAAAAAAAGGTAAATGTTATTTAATGATTTAAATATATATATATTATTATTTATAACAAGATTTGATTTATTGATCTTCATTATTTTATGAGTTATTCAAAGCTCACTTTATTAACAAAATTATTGAAGCTATTTTAAAGATTTAATAACTATTGAAGAAAAAAATCTATACAGCTTTTGAAATAATTTAAATAGATGATTTTATTGCGTTATAGTTTCTATTTATTTTTTAAATTTATGCCAATTTTATTTTTTTTAATCATATTTTCGATCTTTTTTTGTTTTGTTTTTTGATAGTATGAATTTAATATTTTTTTATAATAACTGACTTTTTCTTTCTGACATTGAATATATCTTAGATTTTTTTGTAACCTTATCATTTAATATCTTTCTGATAAATTCTATTATATTATAGTTGAATGTCTATCAAGGATTTATTGGTTTTTCTACACCGACTAATATAAGTTTAATTTTTTCACAAGAAAGTCGCTAATCACTTCAAAATTAATTATTATTATTGATTATACAATAACAGACAATATTCTGCGTAACATATTTATTAATTTATTTTTCTTTTGTTTTTAAATTTTCATTTTCATATTATTAAATTCTAGCTAAATCATTATTTTTCAAATATCTCTAAACTTATTTTCTTCGGACTCAATTTAAATATTCAATATTTTATTTCAGCAGTTAGAATTTCAAATAAAAGAACAATTTCATGATATTATACATTTCTTACTCATCTATGTGTCTATTCAATTTGTTTTCTTTCTTGTTAAAAAAACAAACAACTAAACACAATAAATAAGTAGTCAAATGATATTTAAATAGCGATGAATATTTATAAAATAATACTTTAGATTAAATAGATATTTACTTTAAAATGTAATGAGTCAATAAATAGTTAAATCTTTATTGAAATGAACAATATCTGTTAAAAACTATCCTTAAATATCTCAGTTCATTATATCTATCGATTTTCTCTACTAATAGGACGATCTAAACATTTTTTTATAGTAAGAATTTGGCTGTACCAGCGTATATTATTATCGCAAATATCCTTTTTTGTTAATCAGAAATATATCACCTCCGATCGACATGCCAGTTTTTCATTCTCTCATTTGGATAAAAAACAAAGCACATGTATCATCTCTCTAATCACAGAGAAAAGATCATCGTGTTGTTATTCTCATTCAAGAACAGTCAAAACATAGGATTTTCGACCAATAATAAAAGAAAAAAACTAATCCTACTCGTCAACAAATGTCATCCAGGTAAAGAAAAAAAACACAAATATTTAATGATCATCACTGAATCAAATATTGAGTCTATGAAAAATATCAAACGATTATAAGACAAGACAAGAGTGATACATTTGTATAATCGGCAAGATATGAATATCTTATAAATACGTCAATACTTTGTCAATTACAAAATAGTTTCTGTATTGATACGGAACAGAAATTTCAGTGAAAATTATATACAATCTAAGCAAAAAGGCTTAGAACATTTAACAACATAATATTCTCATAATCGTTCAACATTCTTAGATTTCAAGCAATGTTAACAGTCAAAGCGTATTTTCTATTTGTTTTTCAACTGACAATATGTTCTTCAGACGACACGAAACCCAGATTAAATCTGGATGAATTTCTCGATAACACTGATTTTCAATTATTGAGCTTTTCTCCAATTGGTCAACATTTGCTCATTCAATCTCGACATACATCGTGGAATACGAGTTCATTTGACATTAGCCTATGGCTATTTTACATACAAGAGAATAGAACAAAACTGATAACACACAATCTTGCTTCATTTTCGAAACCAGAATGGTCACCAAATGGAAGTCAAATTGCATTTTTTCTCAATGAAGACACGACAACTACTAATGACGAAACACGTGAACATCATCTGTACTTATATTCAATAGTTTCTAACCAGTTGATGTCCATTTCAGTTGGCAGAAATATTCCGTTCCGTTTAGCATGGGCTGATAGTGATTCTTCTCTTTTTTTCACGACGATGTTATTCGAATCGAAGAACCAGAATGAAAATGAGTGGAAACATGTGATTCAGCACCGACGAACTCAAAATAATGGAGATGTAACAATTCATCGTATTGATATGGACGAATCAATGAAAATATCCTTTGTCAAAAATGTTCCTTTCTTCATAGGAGAACTCTTGTTTGTGCCACTACTAAACAAACTCATATTTACATCAGTATCGAGAGTTATTGAACAACTTGATATCATGGAAGTTTACTCGATTGATATGCAAAACTTAACGTCAATGTTAAAATTGACTAACAATGAAGGCATCGAACAGGATTTAAAGTTGTCACATGACGGCACACATCTACTCTTTCGCTTATTTACCTTGAGTTCGAATCGGAACGAATTCAGTGAAACATTCGATCGACTTTTTTCTATCGATTTAAACAATGGAAAAATTGAAAGTTTTGGAAAAGATTTCATAGGAAGCATAACAGGATATGCAGTCAAAGCCGACGGCGGTGTTTTTATTATGGGACAACTTGGAACCAATATTCAAATATATGAACAAAAGTCACCTTCACATGATCTTATCTATCATCAGGGATGGAATGGTACCTATGCAAAATTGTCGACATCAAACAAGAATGATTTGATTGCGTTTGTTCATTCTTCATTTACAAAACCAAAAGAAGTTTATTTGGCTGATAATATTCATCAACTTCAATCAGCACAAGCAATCACTAGTGACAATGAATTATTTACTCGACGAGATTTACCAAAAAGTAAAGTATATCGATGGACAAACGGGGAAGAAAATCGAACGATTGAAGGAATTTTACGCTATCCACCAGGACAATTTGAGCAAAAACATTTGCCTTTACTTGTTCTGATTCATGGTGGTCTCTACGCGGCCAGCATCAATGGATTTCAAGCTGACTGGGAAAACTGGGGAATGTTTGCTGCTTCGGAAGGTTGGTTAGTATTCGAGCCGAATTATGGAGGATCGACAGGATACGGTAGCCAGTTTATCCATGAAGTTCGTTACCAGTTTTTATCTCGTCCAGCCAGAGATATTCTTTCAGGTGTCGATCAACTTGTCAAAGATGGTATTGTCGATCCGAATAGGCTGACTGTGGGTGGATATAGTTATGGTGGCTATCTGACAAATTGGTTAATAACGCAAACTACTCGATTCAATGCAGCTATTTCTGGTGCTGGTGCTGTTGAACATACTTCGGAATGGGGCACCATAGATTTTCCGGTATTTGAATACTATGTACTCGGAGGAGCTCCATGGGAAGTACCAGAAAATTATCAAGGCGAAGCAGCAATCTATCAGCTAGACAAAGTACGAACACCCACACACATTATTACAGGTGAAAATGACGTACGAGTTAATCCTGCACAAAGTTACATGCTTGAACGCGCACTTTATTACTTAGGAATTCCGGTACAATTATTAATTTTTCCGAATGAAGATCATTCGATCAGCAATAATCCTTGGCATGGAAAGATTAAAGTACGTGAGGAACTCAAATGGTTGCAAAAGTATGGTCATCAATCATTTGAGACAATTATGAAATTAATTTAATTTAATTTTTTACACACGTAACTATTGAATCATCTATATCTATCTGGTATATTTTGAAATAAGATTGTCAAAATACTTCTATTTGTTCAAATTATTCAATGACTCCTCTAAATCAATTGCTGTACAAAAAGCCTTTGTTTATAACAGCACTCTTGAAAATAAAAAAGTTGACTTTTATTTGACTTGAATATCAACAATTAAATGCTCAATTAGAGGTATGAATGTGAGTGAAGTTATGGACTGATGAGTTAATAGTGTTCTTGTATCAGCAGTCATCTACATCCATTCAAGCATGCACACTCACATACCCATACATGGATCAATGCCAAGGGGGGAAAAGCAGATTTTGGCGTCCTAAATCTTTCAAAATCTCTCAAAATCGCTGAAAACAGTGCAGGAAGTGGTTAGCTTGGTCCGAGATCTTTTCAGTACTTTATTCCCTTAATTTAAAGGAGAAGCTTCTGGATGAAATAAAATAAGTCTATGTACGTGTATGTATGCTTATTTGCAGTCACGTACCTTCATACATGCATTCGAAGTATTACATTAACTAAGATTGCTATGGGTNATTTTCGATTCATTTTATTATTAAACTTTCTGCATGAGCAACATCTACCTGAAAGACGATTCTTACCACCAATTGTTTTACCATCAGATAATTTTTTTCGTCCATGCTCACGTTTGATTGTTTCTAATCCTCGTTTCATTCTTTTACTAAAATGATTCAAGTCTTCGATTTTTTCGATAACTTTTCCTAAATAGAGAAAAAAAATATTTGCATTATGAATCAAAATATTTCAAAATAAATATATATTATACCTGGATATGGTACAATTTTGGAAAGAACTAGAAAAGTTTTAGAATCACCATCACCAACGTACTTCGAATAATAAACTCCATACTTTGAAACTGATCGTTTGAACATCTTGAGAATAGCAGCAGATTCCATTGTACCGGAGTTTTGTCCTAATTTTTTTCACATTGATGTGATTTAATAATACTATCATATTTAGCTGGATCAGATTTCTTAATAGAAAATGCACCTAAAAAACAAGAATATAATCAAGACAGAAAAAAAAAAGACTCACCCATACAAATATTACATGTTTTATTACATATTTCTAAATCTAACACTTTTGGTACTGTGTTGCAAGATAAAATAGCCGATGCACCGTGTCTGCTTTGAAAACCTCGAGTCTGTCAAAATCCATCACCACTAACGATTAAATCTGTACCATTTTGAGCAGCAATAGTTTCTTCCGCAGCTTTCTTCATAGACCGTTCAGAAAATGTTTTTACCACCTGTAGCAGATTTCTATCCCATTTGGAATATATTGCATCTTGAACCGGACTTGGTAAATTCAAAGCACCAGTCATTTTCACTAATCCAGTATGTCTAATACCACATAAATGACCACCTATTTGTGCTCTAACGTTGATGTCTCGACGATCGGATTCAACAATCTTCGGACTTGTTTCTAAAATTCAATTGAATAATATTGAATATGTCAACAAAACCAAGACAAATTTTATAGTTAGAAATATTTACCAACAGTGATGATGTTTTGACATGTTGAACATTGAAACGATAATATCAGAAATAAACCTTCACGCTTGTAAATGTTTAATGTTCCATTCCAACGTTTTCCACAACCTTCACAATTTGTCTTGCACATAAGAGAATGTAACATTTGATTTTGTATTATTGTGTATCCGTCCATAGGTATATTTGAATCAAACTGTGATGATGTTAATGTTATATTCATCTTTGATTGTCTCGTGATCTTTTGTTGTGATGGTAAAGACAAAAGTGTTGAACCTGTAATTGTACTTGATGTTGCAGCTTGTGTTGTTGATATAGTACTCGATTGTAAAGATGTTGCTGCTATTTGTTTATGTTGGATCAATCGTTTCGAAACTTGTCGTGTACTGCATCTAATAATTAAACGTGTTTTATTTTAAGAAAAATTATCAAATTAAGATTTTTTCCTTCTAGAGTCATTAATAACATTCAATAATTTCAGAAAAGAAATAGCCTTACAGACCAGCTATGCAACAATAGAAATTCGCTTGACATCGCATACCGTTTTAAAGTTTTTTTATTCGCCATGATGTTACAATAAATATTTATTGAAAAAAATATAGCAATAAGTCCAATATAGAGTCTAAAAGAATTATTTGTAAAAAAATATCTTATTTATTTATTTATTTGTTTATTGAATATACACTAAGAGAATCACATATAAAAAAATAAACAAAACACACGTTGTTGTATGCTGAAAAGATAATAAGATACAGAGAACACGAAAAAAAAAATCAACAATGGAGAACAGAAAGATAAACAAGCGGCATCGAAAACGATGTGCTTCAGGATGATCCATACATATAACACGGACAACTATGTAAACGTCATAAATACTGGTGTATTGTTGCTAGTAGTGCGAAATGATTATTATAAGTTTTATTTTCAATGAAGAAAACCGATTGAGATAATTTATAGTTAGTTTAAGTAGTACGTCTTCGAACAATTCGACCATGTGCCTATCGTTATGAATAAAAAATATCTCTAAAGATGTTCACCACGTCATAAAGGTCCTTTTTATACATAATTCAATGTTATATGGATTATTGATAGTTAGTTTCTTTAGATAAATGCTTAAAATTGCCAAAAATTATAAAATATCAAAAAAATAAGCTTCGAAAAATCTTTTTCGTTTTTTCTCGATTTCCGTTTTCTCGAACGCGCAAACCAAATTTCTCTTTAATGGTCCAACCAATGTATTAATATTTTTTTTTGTTTGAAAGAGCGTGTCAAGACACAGGGCAGTACGTCGCCCTTTTTTTGAAATTCTCTTCTTTTATAGTAAATATTAAGTCACTAATATAATTTGACCCCCATTTTTGATAAATTTTGTAGTCCTTGAACTTGTGCCCTCTTTTTTCCGATTAAAAAGGGACTAATTCAAAAAAAGGGCGACGTACTGCCCTGCATCTTGACACGCTCTTTCAAATGAAAAAAATTTTTTTACATTGGATGGATCATTAAAGAGAAATTTGGGATGCCGTTTTCCCTATTTTTCGACCTTATTTGGTCAATATCTCCCACAAATTGCATAGTTTTGAGCTGAAAATTTTATCATAGACTCCCCTAACTGTCCCCAACATATCCTCCAAATTTCAGCTCATTCTAACGTTCCTGGGCCGAGATCGATTTTTGAATGGGGGGGGGGGGGGGGCGTAGGAAACGGTTGCCTACGCCACTTTGTTGTTTGTTGTGAGTAGCTTGT